GAGTAAGGTCAGAGGCCTCAGAAGTGGCCTGAATGTTGATCCAGTTTGATGTTTTCCACTTTGGAACTCTTCTCCTTCTTGCTGCACTGGTTACACTTTCAGATCATCTACTGCTTCTCTGCTGGGCTTTCCTGCAAGCCCCATTTCTTCTCTTGTCCAGGGAAGTTACCACTTGAGTAGAGGACTATGCAGGTCTCATGGCACAGGTTTTTAGTCTTTTCTTCTATTCTGAAATGGAATTTCTCAAAGAGGAGCTGTGTATCTGATGTAGCTGAATCATACAAGTGACTGTAAGCATCTTACTTGTTTTGTAGCTCACTGGTAGCTAAGCATTCTATCCCGAGACGAGCAATGGTGTCACAGATGCTCTACAGATTTCACAAGATTGCTCTGCCTTGGATACTCTTAGTATTACATTTGGGAATTGTCTTTACAATAACGAAATCTAATCATATTGGTTTATGTAAAAGGAAATAGCATGTATCCAGGAAAACACCTGCAGACTGAGGAAAATAGACTGGAAGTAATCTTATATAGGTCAGTTTCATGAGTAGTTTCTATGTATGATACATATAGATAAAAAAGCAACACATGTAAGTGGATTTATGTTAAAAAAAGATCTCTTTATGGATAATTATATAAATTTGTGGGCTTTTATTTTTTAAAGAATGAAAATTCTTCAGGAATCTCAAGGCAGCCTTCAACAAAAGGAGCAAGGCAACACGCCAGACCCAGAGGAGAAGGTAACTAGAGGGAGGATATTATCTCTATTAAATATGCTGGAGGTTTATTGAATAGGAATAGCAGAAATACTCAACTATCCATGTTTTTTATTTTCAGTTCTTGTTTTATACTCCCATTCTGCATTTATGAAGCCAACAGGCAACTTTTTCTGCATGGGTTTGATAGAGAGTGGTGCTGGGTTCCCTTTGCTCGCATTCCTCATGCACGATTGCAGATATAAATTCAGCCTGCTGTTGATATTCCTTGTGTTGTCTCAAAGCGCCCTTTTTCAGTTGGTCTTTTATTTTCACAAGAACTCTTTCTTTGCTTAAGAATCTAGCAAATTTAGACAAATTTGCCTTGCAAAACTTGGGCTTGTTTTGGTTTTCCTATCACTGGGGATTAGTGGACAGTATGTCCCAAGTTAATACAATTATTGTAAGTTACCTTTACATAAAGTCATGTGGAAAGTTTTGTTCAATGTATAGAGCAGAGCAGCGTTCAGCGCAATATTTTTGTTTCAGTAAGACTTAAGGTATGTTTTAAAGGTATTTTAATAAGGTGAAAGAGGTTTGTGAGGCAAAATATGCTTTCCTATAGGGATGAATCATACAGCCATGAGCCCTGAATTTGTAGCTTTATCACTTACAAGGGCTGGGGCAGCTCTGCTCTGGAGCCAGGCTGAGAGAGCTGGGCTGGTTCAGCCTGGAGAAGAGAAGGCTCCTTAAGGGGAGACCTTAGAGCAGCTCCAGTGCCTAAAGGGGCTACAGGAAACCTGGAGAGGGGCTTTGGACAAGGGCCTGTAGGGACAGGACAAGGGGAATGGTTTTAACCTGCCAGAGGGGAGACTGAGATGAGCTCTTAGGCAGAAGCTGTTCCCTGTGAGGGTGCTGAGGCGCTGCACAGGCTGCCCAGAGAAGCTGTGGCTGCCCCATCCCTGGCAGTGTTGAAGGCCAGGTTGGACACAGGGGCCTGGAGCAACCTGCTCTAGTAGAAGGTGTCCCTGCCCATCGAGGCTTTAAGGTTCCTTCCAGCATAAACCAGGCTGAGATATGATTCTATGTATCAGTTTAACATCGCTGTTCAGAAGATACAATAACACCTGTGAATTGATGTCTCATTCTGTCTAAAGCCTGATACTGTTTAGACTAATGAAGCATGAAGATCTTCATACACTTAAATCGGGCAATGTCAATGTTATTTATGTACGTATAGAGATGTATGTATATTAATGTACGTATAGAGATCGTGTGTTGCCACGTTTCTTACCAAGCACCCACATTTTCTTTGGGTTTCTGTTTTAGCAGATTTCCATGTGTCTGAGACAAAATACTAAAAGAGGTGGGAAATGGAATAGACGTTTAGGCACCTAAAATACCTTGGCAAAGGGCTGGCATTTTGGATATGGATGGCTGTTGACATAGAAGCTTAATTCAAGTTGGTGCTTGAACATTGAAGATTTTACATTGCATCTCATGTACTTGTGTGCTGTGAGGTTTTAATAATATTCCAGCTGAAAAATTCCATCTGGATTCTATTAAATATAGTCTGATTTTACTGCTTAGTGATCCTTGCTGATCCTATAACTTATTTCCCAGGGTTTGAATATTTTTTTTGATAGCCTGAACTAGACATGTCTGTATAGGTTTGTCCCTTCTTTCAAATCAGGATCCAGCTTTTAGGATCAATGTAATATGGTCAATGGTTAATGCTGTGTTTTGGCTTTAAGGTAAATGTTATAAAAGCATTCTTTTTTGATGAAGCAGCAAGTCAGTGCACTCAAATTTCACTTTACTGAAGTGATGAATACTTTGGGGCATCAGTTGTTTGGTTCTAATGCAACATAGCTGCAGTAGGTGAGTAGTGCTCATAGATGCTTTCTTGCATTATTTACTTACATAGTAAGTAATCCAGAGGAGAGTAAAAACCTGGAGCTGTGCTGATGCCTGTTGCCCACTGGTCTCTGTAGTTAGTGGTGATAAGCAGTGCTGTATTGTCCACTGTTAACAGAGATAAACAAATGCACAGCAGGAGAAGCCAAAGGTTTCGTGTCATCACTAAATAACAATTGTAATAAACCAAACTGAAATGGTGAATGGAGGATTAATTAAGCAAAAGCAGGTATATTTGCTGTCCTGGTAACTAAACTAAGTCACACCAGCATTTGCTCACCTCTGTTATGAATAAATTCCTCATGGTATTGGAGCAAATGTGTGTTGGTTTGGTTTATAGTTAATATTACATTTATTACTACTCAGGCAGTGGCTGCTTTTTATAGTTGCAATGTGCCTTGCAGCAAAACTTGTGCTCTTAACTGAGATCTGAACAGGTTTCCTTTAAGACACTGAATTACTTTCTCAATGGAAATCACAGAATCCCAGAGTGGTTTGGGTTGGGAGGGACCTTAAAGCTGATCCTGTTCCAACTGTGTCCAACCTCGCTTTGAACACTGCCAGGGATGGGGCAGCCACGGCTTCTCTGGGCAGAGCTTCTCTTTGGGTTTTCTGCTAAGCTCTCCTGGGTAACCTGTGCAGGATGATGCTGAATGTTTAAATGCTAGTTTCAGTTTGATTAAATGGCAACTTCTCCTGGCCTTAGTCTGCACAGGTAAATGAAAGTGCTGGTTGTTCTCCCTCTGCTGTGTGCTCATCTCCTGCAGTAGTAGAACTCAGCATTTTTGCTGCAATGGACTGTGTATCGTTGTGGCTATTTCCCATGGCATGGGTGGAGGAGCAGATCCTCTGCTATTCAGCTGTATGCACTGAAAGCTTCAGCTTTATGCTGCATGCAGTAATTTCGTGGCTGGTTTTGCTAGTGTGGGATGTTTCCACTGAGCATTAGGCACTGAATGTATTACTCCAAGTGAAGGGAGGTTGTGTGTGTGTGTGTGTATTGTTCATGATAAGCCTAAAGCTAAATATTCTGCCCATATTATACAGACCTTGCAAACTGTATGAGTAGTTTAATTTGACCATGTGTAATCAATGCACAGGTGTATTTTCAGGAATGATGTACAAATGTAACTGGGGGAATGAACTGAAGATCATTGGTAGATTAAATGATCTTATGTCTTTTTGCAAGAATAAGCCACTTTTAGGTAGCAACAGAAGAGGACTGTGTTTGTGGACAAGGCCCTTCTATGGCATTACCAGCAAGGTGTGGAGTTCAGCTATGAGAAATCAGCTTTTCTTGCTTGAAGTTTCTTAATGGCTTTAGTCTGAGAAGTGTTTAAAGTCTTTGAAACAAACCCAAGTACAGTGTGCATTCCAAACAGTATACAAACAACAGGGTGTGTTTTAGCAATTAATTCATTAGTCATTAGTTTATTAGGTAAATATTGTATTCTTTCAGCAGCTCTCAGGCTAATGAATAGTATGTGTGAACAGTTTCTGAATTGAAGAAGTTGCCATTAGTTTGCAGGAGCATGAGGAGTTCAACCAGCAGTCATGTAAAAAGGCTTTGTGAACTTGGTATGTTATTTATTACACTCAAGATGGTTTATTAAAGCAGGATAGCCCTTAAAGAAATAGCACCGGGAATTTAGCATGGCTTTGTCTTTTCACCTTCTAATTGTATCTTTGGTTTCATTTGGCTATAAACTGTTTTGTTCCAGAAGCTGTGGAAATGAAGGGCGTGGCAGATAGGATTTCAGAGGACAGTGTTGCTAAACTGCAAGAGCAAGCTGAACCAGGACTTGAAGAGAAAGGTAGGAGACTAAAAACTTGACTGCCTTGGACAGTCTAACTGGAGTGCTTGGGATTGAACTTGAATCCATGCAGCTAAATGAGTTAAGGAGAGCGATTTATGCTTAATTCAACTGCTCCCTTGTGTTTTAATCACATCTTGTGATGAATTCCTCCTTGAAAATTGTACTTTCCCTGATAAAACAGTTACTTTTAGTTTCTCTTTCCTTACTCTTCTGCACCTTTTCAGAGCTCAGTGCTTGCAGTACCCCAAGGGCAGTGCATGGCTGCTGCATGTGAAGCCCTTGGTGACTTGTTCTGTGTAAGAACTGACTCACTGCATGTTGCCTTTTTGTACAAGTATTTGGGAGCTGCACTTAGTGTTTGCATTTGACAGGACTTAAGGGGAAAATTCTGTCTCTGCATTCTTATTTCTCCATTTTTTTTCCAAGTTCTATATAGCTCCCAAGACATATGTTGCTAATGAGGTATTTGTATCTAGCTGCAGAGTACATGGAGCCATAGAAGCAAAATGTAGGAGGAAGAACTGAGATTTAAGCAAAAAAGCTGCATTCTTGTGTTCTTCAGGTCCAGATGCTTGACTTCACTGGGGGAGTTGATGCCATGGATGTGGAAGGTCAGAGGCTGTTTCCCAGTCCACCTGTGGCTTTCAGAGCCTCAGAGCTGTGTCAGACCTTGGCCAAGACATTTGTGTGACCTTGCACAAGTGGGAGAACTTCCATTCTTCCTTTTAATCCTTTGGACCTGTCTTGTCTAATGGAATGTATCTGTTATGGAATATAACTTTATATTCCTCTCTTTATAATTTGAATGAGGAATATCCACAGGTTCAGTATTGATTTGGATTGGCTTCTCAGGTGGCATAAGAACCAAGTATTGACTGATCTTTGTTTTCAGCTTTATTCAGTCAGACAGTGTAACACAGTAGTGCATTGATGAAACTTTATTTCCTGTAAGTTCTTCTAGAGGTGAAACTGTCACTCACATTTCATACCTTTCACAAGATGGAATGGGAAATAAGTCTGACAGTCATTGCAGATAGGTAAAAGTTGGGTGCTATTTGGAGTAATCAGAAGACAGTGGAGTAATCAGAAGGCAGTGATGAACTGCCCCTTAATGGACTTGATGATCTTAAATGATCATTTTGAGCACTGAGGCTCTGAACCTTTCCATGATGGTTTTTTGCTTTGTTGGGGCTTTTTTTCTCCTCACAAATGAGGATGTGTCAGCACACCAGTTATTCTCCCTTGGTATCCTCCATTAGGAATCCTCACTGGATTCATGGCAGCCTCTTAAATAAGAAGTGAATGTTTAAAGCTTTCTGGCAGAAGAGTGCTTTGGCCTGCCTCAGCTCTTTGCTCATAACCCCTGAAGTTATTTATGTTCCACTTTCTTTAGACATAGATACACTCAGTATAGCAAGAAGGGAGGAACAGCTGGATTTCAGGTCACTATGAAAGTGTATACCTGCATGAGGCTTGCAGGACTCCTTGCAGCTGTTGATCTTCTGTCGCCTGAGTAGCTGTTATGTTAGTGTGATGTATGTTGGGATGTCGTGAGAGCAAGTAATCAGCTGACTATAGAATCATAGAGTCTCAGACTGGTTTGGGGACCTTAAGCTCCCTGAAGGGACCTTAAAGCTCATCCAGTTCCAACCCCCTGCCATGGGCAGGGACACCTTCCACTAGAGCAGGTTGCTCCAAGCCCCTGTGTCCAACTTGGCCTTGAACACTGCCAGGGATGGGGCAGCCACAGCTTCTCTGGGCACCCTGTGCCAGCGCCTCAGCACCCTCACAGGGAAAAAAACTTCTTCCTTAGATCTAACCTGAACTTCCCCTGTTTCATTTTGATCCCATCACCCCTTGTCCTATCGCTACAGTCCCTGATGAAGAGCCCCTCTCCAGCATCCTTGTAGCCCCCTTCAGACACTGGAAGCTGCTGTGAGGTCTCCACGCAGCTTCTCTTCTCCAGGCTAAGCAGCCCCAATGTTCTCAGCCTGTCTCCATACAGGAGCTTCTCCAGCCCCTGATCATCTTCATGGCCTCCTTTCTTTATGATAGCTGTTTCTTTGAAAACAATATAAATTTATTTGACCAAGAGAATCAGCATAGAACTCTTGGTGTTGAACGGGATGGCCAGATGGATGTCAGCCAGTCCAACCCCCTGCTCAAATCAGGGTCAATGTTACCATGAAACTGTGGAAGAATTGAGACGATGCCACTTCCACAGACGAGGGAATTTCACAGTATTAAGAAAGAAATAAAGAAACAAGGCATTTTAAAATGGAGAGTTTTTTTCAGTGTCCCTTTTGAATTGCGTGCACTCCAAGATGTGGAAAACCTGGAAGTTCACAAGATACAGAACTTTATATAAGCGTAGAGGCCTTTTCTGTGCTGGATTTCATGAGCACATGGTCAAGTGTAGTGCTGATAGGATTCAAACTGCTGTCGTGAGACAAGTTAGATTTGCCTAAGCCAACGTTTTATGTTTGTTTTGTTTAATAGAAGAAGTGGAGGATGTGGCTCCTGAGAAGCCTGCAGAAAATAGTGAAGTACCTCTTGACCTTCCACCTCAGCCCATCCAAAGGTATGTTTCTATCCTTGAATCAAAGTCTGATGTGCCTGGAGGCACAGTCAGTCAGTCCAGTTGGAAGCAGCAAGGAAACTTGGAGGAGGATGTTTCTACAAGTGGTACAAAATAATAAGTGTTATCCCATGTATGGTTTCCCTTTATTCACTTTCATTTCCTTCTATAAGGAAAACTTTAACATTATGGATTTAGAAAATAAATCTGAAACAATTCATGAATTGCCTCGATGTGCTTATTAAAATATGAAAGATGTGTGGAGAGTCTAATGAGAAGAATACAGCATTACATACCTGTGTTTCATAAGTACAGTGTTATGGATAAGGTGAACTTGCCTTTTAAATCCTAATTTACTTTTCCTTTGCTCAGCAAAGGCTTTTTTAATTATATCAGGGTCTTCAAGAAACCTGGAGAGGGGCTTTGGACAAGGGCCTGTAGGGACAGGACAAGGGGAATGGCCTTAAGGTGCCAGAGGGCAGACTGAGATGAGCTCTTAGGCAGAAGCTCTTCCCTGTGAGGGTGCTGAGGCACTGGCACAGGATGCCCACAGAAGCTGTGGCTGCCCTATCCCTGGCAGTGTTGAAGGCCAGGTTGGACACAGGGGCTTGGAGCAACCTGCTCTAGTGGAAGGTGTCCCTGCCCATGGCAGGGGTTGGAACTGGATGAGCTTTAAGGTCCTTTCTGAGCCTTGGTCTTACACAAATCATAGGGGGTTTTGTTTTAGACACATTTTCTAGATTTTCCTAGACTCTAATAGGATAGCAAATGTTGTGCTATTGGGTTGTATATTAGAGATGTTTTCAGTGGGTTTATGCATTGGGTAGTTTACTCAGCTCTTATGTATCTGTTTCTTTGGATGGACATACCAGGCTTCCTTTTATACTATAAATGAAACAGCCTCTTTGCTATTTCAGGCGAATTCCCCGTCCTGGCAGTGCAAGACCAGCACCACCCAGAGTGAAACGTCCAGAAAGCGCTGAGCTCTTACCTCCAGAAAGGTAAGGAATAGGGAATGTGGGTACAGATGTTTTTAGCTCTTGTGCCACGGTTTTCTCAGATCTTCTATGTCTCACCTGCTGATGAACAGCTTTAGGATGGGTCATAGAATCCTCGAGCGGTTTGGGGTGCAAGGAACCTTAAAGCTTATTGAGTTCCAAGCCCCTGCTGTGGGCAGGGCCACCTTCCACTAGACCAAGATCATCTCTGATCATTGTTTCAGACTGGAAAATTCAAGTCCACTTTATTTGTTTGATTGTTCTGCAAATCCAATGCATTATCTACAAGTTACGGTTATTTGTCACATTTGGAAGTTCAAAACCATAACTGTTTTGCCTTTGGAAGCCCAGAAACAGACAACCTTGGAATGTTCACCTACTCTGCCGCTGGAGAAGATCTGTAAAATATGCAATGAATATTTATCTTCAAAAAAGGCTGAAACTGCCACTTGCAACTGTGGTCAAAATGGCTTACTTGATCTCTGATAAGTCACTGAAGTAGTGTGTTTAGAAGGAAAATATATTTCCTTCCATGAGTGGAGGATGGCTACCTTGGGCAGTGCTGCTTTATTTTATGGGAAGAAAGGAGGGTACTGCTGTCTCTTCTATTCTGGATAGATCTTACTAGGCTTTTGGGGCAGGTTTTAATAGGTTTTCATTTTCATTGTGTCTCCTACAGGAGTGGTAGTGGTAAAACAGTCTCAAACGTCATCATAGACCAGCAGATTTCTGATGATGATGATGACCAGTTTGTGGTGGAGGCAGCACTGCCACTGCCCGAAGTGCCACATATGGAAATGGTCTGTTCATGTTACACGTTATAGAACCTTTTTCCATCCTTTTTTGTAACTTACTTGTTTAAGTAGCTTCTAGCTGAATATTCTGGTAGAGTTGTGTATTAGACCAATGCCAACTTTGTCCAACTAAAGCTGTCTTCCTGCATGTGTAGGAGCCAGAAGTGGAGCTGGTTGAGGATCAAAAGCATGGTATGTTTGCTTTTACATATTTATATATAGATATGTATAATAAACCCATGAGTTTCAAACAAACGCTGAACACTTAGAATGCTGAATAAAGCAGCAAAATACCTCCTGACGGTAGGAGCTTGCAAGAAAAAACCCAGAAATTCAGTCAAATCAAACCCAGTCTTGTTTCCTTGTGCAGCTGGATTTACAAGTGATGTTCAGCACAGAGTTTCTATACAACTCTCATGTCAGCAGGATTAAACATTCTGCATCAAACTCAGAAATGAATGTTTCTTACAGTGTCAGGTACAGCTTGTCAGCTGTAAGGAGATGGCATTGGCTGCTCAAGGCAAGCTGTCGAAAAGCTTTTAGAAGACTTCTTAACGTTTATGCTTACTTGGGACTTCAGATCTCTGATTCAGGGGCTTCTATTATGGTTACACTGGATGTAATTGAGGCAAATACACTTATTTGCATCCAAAATCTCCTTGCAAAGGAATACCTATAAACTTTTATTTTGCGGTTCTTGAATTCCTCCAAAAAGGGGGTGCAGAGGAAAAGCCTTCGTGTTCATACAGCTCAAGGAGTTGGTTCTGGACCAAGAGTTATTCAGTAAATGATACTGATGATACAGTTCAATTTAGAGGACATTGGAGAAAATAGACCGATCGAGAAATACCTTGGAGCTCAGGAATTAAAATACGTCATGGAATGCTGTTCTTGTTGCTGGAAATTAACATTAACAAAAAGATTTAAGCAATTGGGTTCTATTTGATTGTCTGAATGTTTCAAACAACACTTTAGTGCCAACCAGTGCTGAGAAATGTACTGTTTTTTCCACAGGTGGGCTTGTAAAAAGACTCCTGGAAACAAAGAAGGATTATGAAGCATCACAGATATCCTCAAAGACGACAGAGAGGGTAAGATGGTAATGGCCTTTATAGAATTGTCAATATTAAATACTGTGATTGTGACCTTTTTCTCTGCCTCAGATGTGTTTTTTTCCCATTTATGATCAAGCTTTCCTCCTTGATGCTTTTAGTTCTCCATCAGTCTGTCAGATGTCACCCCCTCTATGTAGTGCTCTCTCTTTCTCACCTTTAATTTCTGCAGGTTGGAGGTTTGGTTTTTATTCCAGGATCTCAGGACAGTTTCTCGAGGGAGAATTTAGGCTATTTTTTTGTTTCCTACAACAAAATCTGCTCATTTCAGCCTAGATGGAGTAGGACACACTGTGCATTTGTGCAGCTGCAATATTACTGTTTCAATCTTACTTGTCCTCTAGGCAGTATCCTATAGCTCAGCAATCACTATCATTGAGGTGTTTTTAATAAAAGGCATCTCTGGTGCAATTAACCATATAAAGTAGTATTATTTCACCAAATGTTGCCCTACTATACCCCAGCATTCAGGTCTATGAATGTGGTTTGATTATGATAGTGATATGATAATCTTATGATAGATTACTATATGAAGTGATTTGATGTGAGTTGTTCCACAGTCAGTAGCTGGAAAAGGGAAGGGAGTTTATGGTTTTGTTGGTTATTCTTGTTGTTTTGATCACTTAGAAAGGGTCTACCAGTGATCACAAACCAAAAGCAAAAGGTTGAGCTGCCTCATTTAAATGTCTTCCTGTTCCAAGTGGAGAGCTCTTGGTTTTTCAACCCTGTAAAACTCATGTTACAAGAAGCAGCTGAAGGCCAAGCATTGAGATGGAGTTCTCTGATCCATTGGCCCTTTGAAAAGTTTCTCTATCACTAAACTAGTTTGATGTGCTAGTGAGGAGGCACTGAGGAATGCACTGCAGAGTTCTGCTCTAAAATGAGACAGGTACATAGTGTGTTGGAAAGGTGAGTGCTTTTCATGAACTCTTAAACGTTCAATTCCAATCACATCAGCTCATTTTGTTAATGTTAATTCAGTATTGTAGATTTTTCCTACCTGTGTTTGTTTCAGGAATGATCTGTAGTTTGGCATGCTGGTTTTGGAGGCTCAGACCTCAAGATACCAGCTTTTCACAGAGCATCAAGCCCTTTCAAATAGCCATGACAACTTGACTGCCTCTTCTGGCTTTCTGAACTGTAGTAGTTTGGCATTGAGTAATGATATTCTAATAGGTGATGAGCAAAGTGTAGAGCAGCAAGAAACTGTCCCTGAGGACTAAAACCATGGTAGACAGCAGACTGTGTTGAAAACCTGGTCTTACATAGTACTTCCATGACTTTCTGATCACCTCTACAGTCTGCAGCGAACGTGACACAAGTGTTAACTTTTAGGATTGGAATTTTGGGAGGGTAAAATCAACAATTCTCTGAAATGGAGATACTCCTGTTTGCTTTCCTGGCCAGCGGTAATGGGGTATGCTTCCATACAGACCAGCCTTTTCATTTCTTCCCCACCAAGCTGAAGAATCTGTATCAGCACCAGTGTGGCAGCAGGGCCAGGGCAGTGATTGTTGCTCTGCGCTGGGCACTGGTGAGGCCACACCTTGAATCCTGTGTTCAGCTCTGGGCCCCTCACTACAAGAGAGACAGAGGTGCTGGAGTGGGGCCAGAGAAGGGCAACGGAGCTGGTGCAGGGCCTGGAGCACAAGTGTGATGGGGAGCAGCTGAGGGACCTGGGGGGTTCAGTCTGGAGAAGAGAAGGCTCAGGGGGGGATCTTATCGCTCCCTACAACTGCCTGACAGGAGGATGGAGCCAGGAGGGGCTGGGCTCTGCTGCCAAGGAACAAGGGATGGGACAAGAGGAAATGGCCTCAAGCTGCACCAGGGGAGGTTTAGATGGAGCTGAGGAACAATTCCTTCCCCACAGGGTGCTCAGGCATTGGAACAGGCTGCCCAGGGCAGGGCTGGAGTCACCGTCCCTGCAAGTGTTCACACACCATGTAGACGAGGCCCTCAGTGCCATGGGTTAGTGATGGCCTTGGCAGTGCTGGGCAACGGTTGGACTGGATGAGCTTAAAAGTCTTTTCCAGCCTAATTGATCCTATGATTCTAAGTTGGGATGGCAGATCAGACTGTGTGGGTTATCTTCCTCTCTAAAGTTTGTGACTGAGATCCAAGTCTGCTTGCCTGGAAGACAGTTCCTTTCATGTATTGCAGGGGCTGAAGTTGATGAAGAAAAGCAATCCTCCTTAAAATAGGAAAACACCTTTAATTTCCTGCTTATAATCAATCCATTAGGGATAGTTACAGCTTTATCCAACTTTGTGACTCTCAATCCAATCCATTTATTGCAGATGTGCAGCTTGTAGTGTCTTTGTACTGATCATGAAACACCATTGCCTATTTCTAATGAGTATGTCTAATGTGACACTTTGCCTGCCTGAACAAGTTCTTTCTATAACTCATCGAAGAAGGGAAGGTCTCAAAGTTGATGCTGCTATTTGTGCAGTAGCTCTGAAGTTCATGATGTTGAGCTGGCACTCGCAAGAACAAGTTGTTCCTGCTTTTATCACTAGGTGATGCTGTTGAATCATCAGTCCCCGGGCTAAGTTTGGGGACAGGGGTAGGAGTTAATCTACTTACGTCTTCTGCCAGTGCATAATCGTGGTGTAGGCTGTGCCGTTTGCTGTTGTGGCCTGTCAGCTGGACATGAAAAGGGACAACAGGAGTGGGTTACAAAATCAAATCACATGGATTTCATCCTCAGGAAGCTTCCTGTGTTGTTTGCGCTGCATTTTCTGGGTTATATTCTGAATAACTCAAACAATTCCCTTTTAACCCCTTAGATTGTCTGGTTTTAAATGCATATGGACAATTGTGGCCTCCTACAATAACCATTCAGGCCCATTGCCTGTGTTCAGTCTGTAAAGCATTCATTCAGTCCTTGTTTGTCTTTTGTTGCATCTTTTGAAGCCCTGGTCTGTGTTAGCTGAGCTAATGGTGGAAAATAAACGTGCTGACTTCCTAGTCCATCACATGAGGACTTGCATACAGTGCTGAGCTCCTGGAATATCATCTGATCTCACATCCAAGCAGCTGGCTGCTACTGCAGGAGGTTTCTTTGTTGCTACTGCTTTCAAATGATGTTGTTAAAGTTGTTGAGATCCAGAGAGAAGTATAGTTTTCCTCAAAACAGAGGGGAAAATCAAAGCTAAAAATGATTAAAAGTGCACAGGATTGGTGATTGGCACAGGACAGATGTAGTTCAAGGAAAGATGAGCTGGAGACTTTACTGAATCCTGGGAGTTTATTTTAGAGGACAAACACTGTGATGTGAGAGACAGTAAAAGTAAAATCATAGAACCACAGCCTGGTTTGTGTTGGAAGGGACCTTAAAGCTCATCCAGTTCCAAGCCCCTGCCACGGGCAGGGACACCTTCCACTAGAGCAGGTTGCTCCAAGCCCTGTTCAACCTGGCCTTGAACACTGCCAGGGATGGGGCAGCCACAGCTTCTCTGGGCACCCTGTGCCAGTGCCTCAGCACCCTCACAGGGAAGAGCTTCTGCCTAAGAGCTCATCTCAGTCTCCCCTGTGGCAGGTTAAAGCCATTCCCCTTGTCCTGTCCCTACAGGCCCTTGTCCAAAGCCCCTCTCCAGGTTTTCTGTAGCCCCTTTAGGCACTGGAGCTGCTCTAAGGTCTCCCCTTAAGGAGCCTTCTCTTCTCCAGGCTGAACCAGCCCAGCTCTCTCAGCCTGGCTCCAGAGTAGAGCTGCTCCAGCCCTCGCAGCATACCCGTGGCCTCCTATGGACTCGCTCCAACAGCTCCACGTCTCTCTTGTGCTGTTGCCCCAAGAGCTGGATCAGGACTGCAGGGGGGAGCGTCTCCCCAGAGCACAGCAGAGGGAGGAGAATCCCCTTCCTGAGCTGCTGCTCACGCTCTGGGGGTGCAGCCCAGCACACGGCGGGGTTACTGGGCTCAAGCGCACACTGAAGCCAGGTCATGGGGAGCTTCTCCTCACCCAACACCCTCAAGTCCTTCTCCTCAGGGCTGCTCTGTATTTCCAACATGGCATTGCCTCTGGGAATGTTTCACAGAGCAGATATGCAGAGGGTAGCAGGCAGGGGTCTGGCACGCTCATGTTATCCTAGCACCTTGAGCATGTCTCATCTTTGAGGGATATTCCTAACATCACAAGGAAGGCAGTGACAAGGGTTTTTTTGTTTCAGTACTACAGAGCAACAGTTTTGGGAGGAATTGTTCTCTGGAATCTCTCTGGATAAAGGCAGCAGAAGTAATTAGAAAGAAGGAAGAGTTTCAAGTGATTTGTTCCTGCCAAGTGGTCTATGCAGGCAAGTGGAACCACGTCCTGTTATGGCGTTGGGACTGCAAGAATGGTTCCATGAACTCTGTGCAGTGTGATGTGTTCAAATGGCCATAGGGTTTGTGCCAGGTCTCACTCTGTAATCCGCTGGGAAGCAGAATCAGTCTGGGATTTGACCATTTCTCCCCAGCCTGTCAGCTCTTCTACTTAGTTTGTTTTCCATCAAACTCTCCAGAAGAAATATCTTTGCCATCAGTATGCAACTGAATTCCAACACGTCGTATGCACTGGAAAGGGAACTAGGAGTGTACTTCTGTAGTTTGGAGTAAGGTAACCAGAAATCCAGTGTAAAGCTGAAAGAACTGCTTGCTTTGGGAAATGGGGTCTGATGAAATGATGGGTGATCCTCGTGTCTGTCAGGAAGAATGTTCATCCTCCTTCATTTGGTTCAACTGTTCAATAACTACAAAATAATGACATCTTTTCCCAGTTACATTCATTAGGCTTCAAAGCCTCATTCTTCTGACATTTGGGAAAACGAAGGGGGAAAAAAGATATCCTGGAATTGCCAGCTAATACTTTCTTAAGTGCAATATTCAGCAAAACCCGTGATCAATGGATCTACTATCATTATTAATCAAGTAGATTAATCTGAGGTAGATGATCTTAGGGTCCTTTCCAACCCTGACCCTTCCCTTAGTATATGACTCTTATG